CTGTACAAGCGAGCGGCCCATGTCCCTTTCGCATGCTATTTCATTACTTTTTAACAAGTCAATAGAGACTAGCACCTTCCCCCCGAAACTACTCAAAATGGCAAGGGTTACACCAATTTCATAAAGGTGGTGACCCTACAGACCCTTTAAAAAACTATAGGCCAATTCTAACTTAAACCATTGCTATCCAAAATCTTTGAGAAACTCGTGTACAAGAGACTGTATTCATTTATAACGGCTCAAAACATACTCAACCCCTGCCAGTTGGATTCAGGAAAAATAAAAGCACTAATGATGCAATCATAAAAATGCTAGATCTGCCTTTACACAGCATTGGAAAATAAGGAATATCCACTAGGAATTTTTATTGACCTAAAAAAAAGCTTTGACACAGTAAACCCCGAAATCCTACTCTACAAACTTGACCATACGGTATAAGAGGCCATGCGCTTGCTTATTCAAATCTTTTCATTACTAATAGGTATCAGTTTCGTCCATTAAAGACACAGCATCAGCAACACGGCCACTTGATACTGGAGTTCCGCAGGGAAGTGTCCTTGGTTTCCCCCGCTCTTCCCCATATACATCAATGACCTTCCAAACGTATCCCAACACCTGAAACCCATTCTCTTTGCTGACGACACGACTTATGTCATCTCTCACCCTAATCTTGCCACCCTCAACACCATTGTGAATGAGGAGCTGATTAAATATCGACTTGGATGACAGCCAATAAACTTACGCTTAACATGACAAAACTTACTATATTATGTTTGGTAGCAGAGCAGGAGATGCACAAATTAACATTAAGATTGACAACACTCTAATTACCAGAAATAATGGGGGAAAATTCCTAGGCTTATACCCATATCCAGCATATAGCCAAAAAAGTATCCAAAACGGTTGGGATCCTCTCCAAGATACGATTTCTACGGCGCAAAATGCCCTTCTCACACTATACCACCACTTATTTATCCATACCTCACCTATGCTATTTGTGCTTGGGGATCAACTACAGCAACACACCTAAAGCCAATAATAACCCAACTAAAAGCTGCAGTAAGAATAATCACTAAATCCCATCCCTGGCAGCACACCCCCCCACTCTTCAAAGATCTAAACTTACTCCCAGTTCAGTACATCCACACTTACTACTGTGCAATCTATATCTACAGGGCCTTAAAACTCTAATATCAACCTTGACCTAAACGCTTTCTTGATAGTTGGGACAGAACCCACAGGCATAACACCAGACACAAACTCTCTACGACATTCCCCGTGTCCGACTAACCTTTAAAAAAAATTCAATGTTTGTCAAAGGCCTAAAATCTGGAATACCCTACCTGAGAACTCTAGAACTGCAGACACATTCATCACCTTCAAAACTACCATTAGAAAACATCTAATCTCCCTGATACACCCCGTCAACTAACTACACGAATACCACCTGGTGGTTCACACTTACACTCGCTCACTCATTTTACCATAAACAGAATATTAATCTCAGTCTTAAAATAATGAATCCTGTGATACTCCAATTTCTGAAGCTATATACTGTGCCAAAAAAAAGCATTCACATTGCTAAACTCATAAACTAGTATTTAGTCCTTAGCCTAAAACCAAATTACCTCATAATTTGTAATATTTTACAATTAAGAATAAAACTAAGTATGCCCGAAATGCCTAGCCATGCTAAGCGTTCTAGTGGTACACTCTGTAATCACAATTTTACTACATGTAAACCAAACAATAACCAAATTTCTGTAAACTCAGCATTGTAATCCTTATAGAGAATAAACTTTGAATTTGAATTTTTGAATTGAATATCAAGGCACCTTCTGGTTGAGAGTACTCATCAGTAGACTGTTATATCTGTGTCCTGGAAAGACAGTCAGGGAGCAAGTGATGGCGAATGAGCTTTCTTCTTTGGATTACCCAGTCTTTGTGGGGAGATGACTTAAGAAATCAATACCTCTCACCAGTACAAGTCCAGCCTTAGCAGCAGCAAGTTTTGTGAGGTACCATTCATTAGGTGTTGGGCGCCCAGATACCAAGACGATCTCCACGCTCAAGACCCAGAGCCAATAGACCACTTGCTATTTCCTCACTCTGAAATTAATAAATTACTCAGAACTTCTACCCCATGACTCGACTGGAAACGTTTCGGTCCGCTGACCTTGGTCACTTAAAAGGTAGGAGTGACCGAGGTTCACGACCGAAACAGTTTCATTAAATTACCAATTGTTTTTCATTTTGTCTTTCTCCCAAAAATCTGTATCTCATAACAAATTTATCAATAATTCAAGTTTATATGAAGAACAAGAGATATTTCTAGGCTAAATATGAAAAAAAAAAAAAAATACTACCATATATGCCTGAGAACTAAGTTTCTTATCAGTGTATAAATATACTATATGAATCTGTAATATATAAAGTTAACCTGAATGTAACTTATCTAAATTTTTATCTATTGATCTAAGAGGTTAATGTTCTTCCCTGGTTATGTACTTTTTTA